ATCAAGAAAACACAGAATTGGGCGGAAAAAATTAATATAGCAAGTTTTGAAACAGTAACTTTTACATAGCTAGCTTTTTTAACTCTTCGCGTTTTCTCTTCCATGAAGATTGGTCTACTTCTTTTTTACGACGTCTTCCACTAGGCACCGAAACTACCACGTTTTCTTGCAGTTTTCTAAAATCATCAGAAGGTGGCGACTTTTAAACTTTTATAAATATGTACAATAAATATTACAGCGACTTTTGAAAGTGTATATATACATACAGTACCTATTGTAGCGACTTTTGCTAGAGTAGCTAACATTTGATGCTATTTTTTTCAGAATATATAAGGATTTTGCACTGTATTGTTAATGGACATGAAACTACTTTAAATACTGGTAGATACGTTAACCACCAAAAACTAAAAATCTAAAAAATTTTGCATAGAGCACTTTGCAAGTGGACTACTCATATGTACGTATACTAATTTTAAGAATTAATTCAGTATACCCCCAAAGAGTTTTAATTGTATTCGCATTTTATATGCACATATACATATGGACAGAAACGAATGCCTCAAAAGGAAACCACGCAAATAAAATGAAAGAAATGTTTTATGGAACTATTTTAAAAAAATTTTTTGTTTTTATTCGCCCAATGTTTTTTCACCTTTTTTAAATATTTAATTGTAAAAAACATCCGCCACCTATAAAAAAATTATTTAATGTTTTCTTGCAAATGTATATGAAGATTAACTCTGACAATTTCTTGATAAAATTTTTGCAATGACAGATCTTTTGCCGTTTAAGTTGTTCAAAGTATCATGTATAGGCCCTTTTACTCAGTTTGCATCTGCGCAAGAAAAGAAATATACCGTTATACTCCCCTCAATGATCTCTATCGATCCCCATGTGTTTTTTTTTAATTTTAGATTCGAAGCTATTCTGAATTTATGCCCAAATTTTGCTCAACTTCTGCAATTTGACAGAAATGCAATTCTGAAAAATCACGCACGCAAATTTATTTCGATTACTCAAATGTGAAAAACTTTCGTGCTTAGAAAAATTCACGTCGGTAATATTAGGTTGGCCTGTGAAAGGGTTTATTTAGAGCTCCTCATTTTGACGACTGGGTAGCAATGATCCCGCGGCACTACTACATACGCTCACTCCATTATATCTGCGTACACCCTTGTATTTTAAATATTCACAAAGTTTTTCAAGCTATCTTTTTTTGTTATTTTTATACAAAAATGTGGTTCATGCTATAAACAAAACCGTATAAATCAAAGTTTAAAAGTGCATACAAAATTAAGGAAAATGCAACGAATTTTTACCCAAATTTTTACCTTTGTTTCAGATTTTTTAAAAAGAATTTCTTTGTATGACAATGTACAACTTTTAAGTGGCTAAGAAATTGCGTTGATTTATAATAATTTTTTTTTGTTGAAATTTTCTCCTAAATAACATATACCCAGAGGGACATATTGATTTTAAGCATTTTTTTTCATAGGTTGCGTGATTTCAAATACTTTTTGATTTAAAATCCGCATTTAATTAACAAATATATTTGATTTGTGATTTGGTTTGTTGACCAAATTAAAAATAAAATTTATTTCTGATTTGATTTGTCATCCGAATAAGAAATAAATTTTATTTGTGATTTGTTTGGTCAACCAAATAAAAGTTTGATTCGTCAACCAAATAAAAAATCAATTTTATTTGTGATTTGATTCGTCAACCAAATCAGAAATCCAATTGATTTGTGACTTGAATCGCCCTCCAAATCAGAAAACAAATTTATTTGTGATTGGATTTGTGGAGCGAATCTTTTGATTTAATTTGCAACTACTTCGGGATTTTTGGGACTATTTCGGGTTTTTCGAGACTACTTCGAGATTTTCGGGGTTCTCGGGGCTATTTCGAAATCTTCGGGATTTTTGTGACCAATTCGGAATTTTTGGGACTAAATCGTGTTTTCGACACTACTTCGAGATTTTCAGGATTTTTGGGACTATTTCAGGATCTTCGGGCTTTTTGGGACCAATTCAGAATTGTTCTACTACTGCGAGATTGACGGGGTTCTCGGGAATATATCGAGATTTTTGGACAATTTCGATACTTTCGGGTTTTCTTCGGGATTCTCAGGACCATTGCGGGTTTTTCGTGACTACTTCGAGGTTTTCGGGGTTCTCGAGAATATATCGGGATTTTTGGGATTATTTTGGTATTTTTGAACTATTTCGGGATATTCGCGACTATTCAGGGTCCTCGGGACTATATCGGGATCTTCGGGACTACTTCGGGATTTTTGGGACCAATTAGGATTTTTCGAGACTACTTCGGGATTTTCAAGATTTTGGGACTAATTCGGTATTTTTGAGGCTATTTCGGGATATTGGAGATTTTCTCGGGATTCTCGAGAGTATTCCGGGTTTTTCGAAACTACTTTCGAGATTTTCGGCATTCTCGGTACTACATCGGGATCTTCGGGACTACTTTGGGACTATTTTGGGTTTTTCGACACTACTTGCAGATTTTCAGGATTTTTGGGACTGTTTCGAAATTTTTAGGACAACTTCGTGATTCTCGGGGTTTTCGGGAACATTTTTTTTTTGACTATTTCAGGATTGGACTATTTCGATATTTCTTCGGGATTTTCAGGACTTTTCCGGGTTTTTCGGGGTTCTCGGGGTATATCTTCGGGACTACTTCGGTATTTTTCTAACTAATTTGGTGTTTTTGGAACTATTTCGGGTTTTTCGACGCTTCTTCGATAAGAAATCCCGATATAGTCGCGAGAACTCCGAAAACTTCGGAAGTAGTCTCGAAAAGCGGGAAATAGTCGCAAAAATTCTTAATTGGTCCCAAAAATACTGAAGTAGTCCCGAAGTTCCAGGTATAGTCCCGAGAACCCCGAAAATCTCCAAGTAGCTCGAAAACCCCGGAATAGTACTGAAAATCCCGAAGAAATCTAGAAATAGTCCATCAATCCCGAAATAATACTAAAAATCCCGATATATTCCCGAGAACCCCGAAAATAGCGAAGTTGTCCCAAAAATTCCGAAATAGTCCCAAAACTCCTGAAAATCTCGAAACAGTCTCGAAAAACCCGAAATAGTCCTGAATGTCCCGAAGAAAACCCGAAATTGTCCAAAAATCCCGATATATTCCCGAGAACCCCGCAAATCTCGAAGTAGTAGAAAAATTCCGAATTGGTCCAAAAAATCCCGAAGATCCCGAAATATTCCCAAAAATCCTGAAAATCTCGAAGTAGTGTCGAATAACCGAGATAGTCCCAAAAGTTCCGAATTGGGTCGCAAAAATCCCGATCTATTCACGAGAACCCCGAAACCCTCTCGGAAGTAGTCCCAAAAATTCCTAATTGGTCCAAAAAATACCGAAGTAGTCCCGAAGATTCCGATATAGCCCCGATAACCCGAAATAGTCCCAAAAATCCCGTTATATTCCCGAGAACCCCGAAAATCACGAAATTGTCTCCAAGATCCAAAATTTGCCTTAAAAATACCGAATTAGTCCCAAAATCCTGAAAATCCCGAAGGAGTCTCGAAAAACCCGTAGGAGTCCCAAAAACTATGAATTTATCCCAAGAAGCCGAAGTAGTCTCGAAAAACTCGAAGTCAGAATTTATCCCAAAATCCCCGAAGTAGACCCGAAGATCCCGATATATTCGCGAGAACCCCGAAAATCTCGAAGTTGTCCCAAAAATACCAAAATAGTCCCGAAACCCCAATATAGTCCCAAAAATTCCTAATTGGTCTCAAAAATCCCGAAGTAGTCCTGAAGATCCCGATATAGTCCCGAGAACCCCGCAACTCTCAAAGTAGTCTCGAAAAGCCCGGAATAGTGCTGAAAATCCGGAAATAGTTCCAAAATAACAAAATAGTCCCAAAAATCCCGATATATTCCCGAGATCCCCGAAAATCCCGAAGTAGTCTCGAGAAACCCGAAATAGTCCCAAAAATTCCGAATTGGTCCCAAAAATCCCTAAGATCCCGAAATAGCGTTAAGAACCCCGAAAATGTCGAAATAGTTCGAAAAACCCAAAATAGTACCAACAAATCCGAATTAATCCCAAAAATCCCGAACTAGTCCCGCAGATCCCGATATGGGCACGAGAATACCGAAGTTGTCTCGAAAAACCCGAAATAGTCCAGAAAATGCCGAAGAATTCTCGAAAACCTGAAATAGTCCAAAAATCCCAAAAACCCCCGAAAGAAAATCCCGAAGAAGTCTCACAAAACCTGAAATAGTCCCAACAATACGGAATTAGTCCCATAATCCTGAAAATCTCGAAGAAGTCTCGAAAATTTCAAAATAGTTCCAAAAATCCCGGTACATATCCGAGAGCCCGAATATATGGAAATAGTCCCAAAAATTCCGAATTTGTCCCAAAAATCCCGAATTAGTTGCATTGCCTTAAAGAGTATTATTTAGCTGAAAAATCACAAACCAAATGATTCGATCTACAAATCAAATCACAAATAAATTTGATTTCTGATTTGGGAACGATTCCAATCACAAATCAATTGGATTTCTGATTTGGGGACGATTAAAATCACAAATCAATTTGATTTCTAATTTGGAGGGCGATTCAAATTACAAATCAATTTGATTTCTGATTTGGTTGACGAACCAAATCACAAATAAAATTTATTTTTTATGCGGTTGACGAATCAAATCACAAATAAAACTTATCTTTTATTTGATTGACCAAGCAAATCACAAATAAAATTTATGTAGGATTTGATGCAACTTTCAATTCAGAAATAAATTTTATTTATGGATTTGTGATTTGACTAAATCAAAATCACGCAACCCTGGTATATCCTCTTTCCCCTGATATCCATATAAATATCATGGAGTACAAGTATTTAAAACCATTTTTTGAAAAATTTTGCCATTTTACACATTTAAGTCCTTTAAAATGTAATTGACGAAAAAATTAAAAACTGCATGCAGAATTACAATCATTTAATACTATACATTGCACTTACCTTCAAATTGCTTCATTTTTTGTGACACCAATAGTCGAGCTTTGCCGTAAGCTGAACGCAAGAAGCCTAAAGTATCATCTGAAACATTGGGATTGTCCTAAAAAACATGAGCATATTCAAAATTCAAAACATTTTACAATTTATTTGAAATGCATCAGGGCCATTCCATTGTGACTAGTGGGACATTTTACTCCAGAATGTGATCTATTGCGAATATTATCTATCTCGTCGGAACTTATACAACAGCGAAAGATATTTTTTAACATAGAACAATAACTGATGTATAAATACACTGTACGGCAAAATCAACTTTTTTTCTGGGTATTAGACCAAACCAACTTTTTTAAGAGATTGAGTCATAGGTAAAACAGTGATTTCTCCGTTTTTCGAAGTTGGCCTCCGAAATCGAGATATGGGCCTTCGAAGTTCGAAATAGGACCTTTGGTAAAAAATTATATTTAATTATTCCAAGAAAATAACTATAAACCTAAAAATATATACGTAGTCCTCCTTTTGCTCTTATTTAAATGGTATATTACTTTTTTTTTATGCAAACTTATATTACAGGTGATATACACCGCGGAGAGAACACAGAAGGTGGCGCTGATCGCAACACCGCTAATCGGCTCTCAGTGAATTTGACAGAATCAGCTGTTTTGCTGACGTCACAGTCGAGATGACAGCAGTAGTGATGTGCTGAGTCAATACTTTCAAGTATTGATCGATATTCAGTACCGATTTAAAAAGTATCCAATACTCTCGATACTTGGTACCGGTTTCGAATAAAAGCGCACGCAGGCCAAAGATATGGAAAAAACGGCTCAGGGGAGACTCGCCTATCAAAACCCGAATGTAGGAGCCAATAGAGCTTTTAATACTGATTCAAATGAAAGATGTATATAAGTCGGTTCGAGGCCATAACGCAGAGAAACTCTTACTTGTATGAAGCATTTTTGTTCCAGCTGAATCGGGCGATATCATTTTGGAGGCCTGGGGGCAGACTCTATAACCAGTTAGCGACAATTTTCGAATCGGTATCGGCTTTGTTAGCGTATGATATGAAATATTTTTACGTCAACAAGTGCGATATCGATCCGAAACTTGTCGCCAACTGGTGAGATCTCCCCCCTGAAAAGCTTCTTCATCCGTCAAAGCGTTTTTCTTGAACCTTGGATCGACTAAGGTTAAAACTGATAAAATAATATTTCTCTCTGGCGATAAGTTCAAGTGTTTTAGCCGATATCATATAAGTTAGTAATGCAAGTTTTTTCTAAACCTGAAATGCATATAATGGCGAAGGTTTAATATAAAGAATCGGTATGGGATACCCAAAAGGAAGTATTGGGTACCCAAATCTTTTTTAAGTATTGGGTACCGAGTATTGGGGACAATTCAACACATCACTAATCGCCCTTATTCTCGCCGCTCTCAGTTGTCAACTCTACGATGACGTCACGCTTGAATCACTCTAACGAATTTTGCTGCAATCGGCGCAATCTTGTATTCTATCATTCTTGGGTGATATAAGGGGTCAAAGTTCAGGTCTTCGAAAAATTAAATTCCTTATAGTGCAAACAATTTTGAACTGATTTTTTTTTTTTAATTTATATCGTTGTAAAGGTGATCAAACCCCTTTCTTCCGATTTGCACTTTTGTATACTTCGTATACAAACATTGTAGAAAAAACAAATTTAAATGAAAAAATACCTTTTTCTATAAAAAAAAAAATATGTTGAACAAAAAAATTACTAGAAAATTTTTTTAAAAATTGGTATCGTTGTAAAGACGATTAAATCCCCTTTCTTCTGTTATGCATATTTGTATATGTTCGGGACGGGGTGAAATGGGGGCCGGGAATTCCTCTTGAATTCCGCGGCAAACGAGGGTCGAGGAGGTGCCGAATCCCTAAAGTCCTTCGAGGTTGAATCAAACCGCAAAAAATTCGCTCAAAATGAAATTAAACACTTCACACTTTTCACAATTATATGTATATATATATGAGTGCCTAACGGCCACTTTATTATATATATATGTGTATATAAAAAAATGCTGTAATACAAATTTATAAAAATAGATTGATGATGAGGACCTTACTTGTTGATTGCTTGGAGTTCTCTTCCAAAGTGGCAGAGTGTTGGGTGATCGCAGAAGGCGAAACCCAACATCCGAGGCGAGTAACAGAACTCGGGAAAAAGGAACTCGAGTAACGAGTAACTGTTCCCGCTTCGATCACAGCGACATCTACTAGTGAAATTCTCTAATCAATAAATATACTTAAGGTGAAGGGGGTTAGCGTAAACATGCCGCCCGCCTTGCAGTGTCGCTGCAATAAACTTAACTAGAGTATTAACAATTCATGTAACTATTTACAATTCATTTTACTATTTCATTTTACTATTTACAATTCATAAGTTAATTTTTTTCTTTAACAATTCATAAATTCATTATTGACTTAACTACTCTTCTTTTCATTCAATATATGGTGCCTCCAGAAATCATCCACCCGAACATTGTGTTCTGCGCCGTTGGTCGAGTGGGGGTGGCTGGCATGAGCCCCGGACGCAGAATCATCGCATATACCTCCGCTCCTAACACCAGCGATACCGTGCTGGACCGGTAGAACTACGGGTCGGCGAGCCGAAAATTGTCAAATTCGTTGGTGATCCTGGCGTGCAGCGTGCGAGGGGGGGTTACCCGAGAGAGGCCTGGTTGTACGTCGGCGCAGACCTCCAGTCTCTCGTGCCATCCTCGAAGCGTGAGTCTGCACATGTCTGCATAGCCACCTGGCCAAACTCGAAGTTGGCGGGCCAGCTGAAGCGATATTGTCGACCTGGGCTGCGCTGGGTCGACGATGGCGCGCACTACTTGCGTCCTCTCTCGGGAACTGATCTTCACCGCTACTGTGGGTGTGAGGACAGAAAGCCCAGGAGCGCTACGGGCCGTGCCCGTAATCCGCTCTCGGGCGTCTC